AAAAGTAAGTAAACAAAATACATAACATTCCTCTTGCAGGTGAGTCCATGGAGGAGAAATTTAGTGAGTATTCTTTTTATACCTAGCCCAGAGCTACAACCAAAATGGGAAAAATTTAGCTGGTAGGATATAATTTCCTGGTGTTCTATAGAGATGCAGTGATGGGGGAAAAATATTTTACTACTGCCTCTGATATTTGTCTTGGAAGAGGTAAAGGAACTAAAGAAATATATTAGCTATGCCACCAAAGCTATAAGATGTTAGGGAAGGCACAGCTACCTCATTTCAGACAGCAAGATAACTCTACAGACTAATATTGAGAGTCCATTAGCAGACCATGGCTTCCTATTTCATTCCTAACTAGTCTTATCTTCCTTGGCCTTCCTTCCTTGGGGATCTGAAGTTACATCATTACTACTCTTCTACCTGGCTCAAGAACAATCATGGTAGTGGTAAGCAATTGTGGCCATCCAGAGAATTTAGAAAAACACCTCTCATCATCCTTCACTTCTGGCTATGCCAACTAGAGCTGATGCAGACCAAAAGCATCTCACTTGGTAACCTGGGGTCAGTCACTATAACTTAGCCAAACCTACCTCACAGGGTTGCTGGGGAAACGAAAACAGGTAAGGGGGTAACACTTGCTGCCTTGAGCTTCCCGGATTTATATAAAAACGAAACTGAAGAAAATTAGGAGTTAAATCTGTGCCTTTGCTAGACCACTTCAGACCTTAGTGGGGGTTATTATGGTGGGATGCCCAAACTCACACATGTGTACACACAGGAATTGACCGTTAAGTCACGGAAAACCATCTTATCCAAGAGAGGAGTAGACAAGACCTCTGCTCCCTACACTCTTCACATAGACACACAGCAGGCAATGAAGGCCTGGCTGATCTTAAAAAGATGCCAGCAACCCATCCAGTGCTTCAAATTCTTAAATAAAGGGGAGGGGCAGGGGATGTTGTCCCCTGGAAAGCTCAGTCAAGTCAGTCCTTAATTCTCGGCTGCAACAGTACAGCCCAGAAACAGGTTCATCCCTTGAATAAGGGGTAGGCCTAAGGTTTATCATACCTGTTCTAAGAATGAGGCTCACATTCATTGAGGTTTTCTTCTGTAAGCTTTATGAACTTTTGTAACTTATATCTATTTACACACACAAACAAGCACATATACATATGTACATACATACTATGCTTTGGTATCATAGCCAGTATTTCTTTAGTTCCTGTACCTCTTCCAAGACAAACATCAATATGTATATATGCTCAGACGCTCACTGTTAGATATATATATAAAGCTTACTAAAAAAAACACCAAGTGTTACAACTTTGAACTACTCACTGGAGAGGGAAATAATGCTCCATCCTTTTGGTCTGGTTTAAAAAATAATACTGAAATAACAGACTATACTTCCACAAGGAAACACTCAACCCTCCACAGAGAATAGAGGCTTATTCCAGAAGGGTTTAGAATTTTTGACCAACTACACATATCCTCTAATAATAGATGTTTACAAAACTGTAAGAGTGTGTGTCAGTGTCTTAACAAAGGAATGATTAATTATCACTCCATTTGTAACCTCCCCGTGGATTTCTAAGGCAATTTAGTATGTCTGAAGTACCTGTAGGCCCACCTCTTTTCTTTTTCCTCCCAGAGAGTAATAGGTATAAGTGGACGATGTTAATTATGCATTCCTGCCATCGCAATCATTTCTGGAGCTGTGGGATTTTGCTTCCTCCATAATTATTCCTACAGCATCCTTAACTTAAGTATAAGCTACAAGTCTCTGCTTAATTTATCCTGGCAAGCTATAGTCCTACACAGGAAATCAGGCAGAGTGTGGGGGGTGAAAAAGTAACTTGCAAAAGCTATTTCTAAGCAGGCACAGGAATAGGGGCACTACAAAGGGGCTCCTTACTTTACACAGCAATACAGTACTTTGACAACACTTCAGACACACCATCTGGACACAGAGATTATTTCCCACAGCAAACTGAGAAAGCATAAATTTCAATACACAGCACACACATGCTCAGGCACGTACTGGTAGATGTAACATAGACACCAGGTGAACAAGCCATTTGACTGCTATATAAAGCAGTGGTATTTTAAAATAAAGCCTTGCCTGGCATGCAGCAAGGAAGGCCAGAGTTCTGAATTAAAGATAGGGAGCTCTGGGTTCAAATTCCTGCACAAGAACATCCTTGAGGGACTTTGGATGCCACTGTTTTCCAGGCAAGGAAGGCCAGAGTTCTGAATTAAAGACAGGGAGCTCTGGGTTCAAATTCCTGCTGGATGCCACTATTTTCCAACCTAATCTAATTCACAGGAGCATCGTGAGTGTCCCATGGAATATTGTCCTTCAAGGATTGGTCCTACCATTAGGCAAAGTGAGCCAGCCGCCATAGGTAACAAATGATGGAGTGGGGACTATGATATTAGTCTCCCAGTTGTTCCTCATGAACTCTCCAGCAGCTTTCCCTCACCCCATTAGAGCATAGAGTTGGGCCTGCCTCGGTACCACTCCTGTGTCTTCAAAACTAGCCTGCCATGTCGAGAGTGATGGAAGACCCTATTCCATTGCTAACACTGAGGTAAAAATCAATTGCCAGTCCAACTTCCATATGGAAGCCATCTTGGTCTTTGCCTCAGGGAGCAAAATATCTTGAAACAGCCATGCCAGCATGAGCTTTTCATGGGGTTCTTTGCCTCAGGGAGCAAAATATCTTGACACAGCCCTGCCAGCATGAGCTTTTCATAGGATATACTGGTACATACACAGTGGTGCCTCGTTAGACAGTTACCCCGCATGACAGTTTTTTCGCTAGACATTGACTTTTTGCAATCACTATAGCGATTTGCAAAACAGTGATTCCCATGGGGGAATTTCGCTGGACAATGTTTGGTCCCTGCTTCGCAAACCGATTTTCACTAGATGGCGATTTTGACAGCTCCCTCTGTGCTCGCAAAACAGGTGTTTTCGGGACCTAAGTTTCACAAGGCAGCAATTTAAACAGCTGATCGGCAGTTCACAAAGCGGCTTTCCTATGGCCGATCTTCACTAGACAACGACGATTCTTCCCCATTGGAACACATTTAACAGGTTTCAATGCACTCCAATGGGGAAATGCTTTTCGCTAGACAATGATTTCGCTAAACAGCAATTTCAGTGGAACGGATTATCATCGTCTAGCGAGGCACCACTATAGTAAATCAGCTGATCGGCAGTTCACAAAGCGGCTTTCCTATGGCCGATCTTCACTAGACAACGACGATTCTTCCCCATTGGAACACATTTAACAGGTTTCAATGCACTCCAATGGGGAAATGCTTTTCGCTAGACAATGATTTCGCTAAACAGCAATTTCAGTGGAACGGATTATCATCGTCTAGCGAGGCACCACTATAGTAAATATATAACCACGGATTATCATCGTCTAGCAAGGCACAACTATAGTAAATACATATAACCAGAGACACCAGCAACATGAACCTGTTGCCAAATATTCTGACCCTCTGTCACCTCATAATGCTAATGAAACTCACTAACAGGTTTGGGCCAGTTGCTCTTGCTCAGCCTGAACTACCTCACAGGACAGTTGTGAGAATAAAAGTTGGATGGAGAAGAGCTAACTGGAAGAGAGGACGATTATAAACTGTTGTTAGCAGATGAATTGTAAAACAGTTGGACACCATGCAGCCTGACACTGTTGTACAGTACAGATAAGAATTCATCAGAGCTGCTGGTTGGCTTGGCCACCATGGTGGGGGTGGGGCAGGGTCCCCAAGACGTCCTTCCAAAATATTGTGCATCCTTTAGGTAGGAGACAAATCAGCCGAGACAGGAGGCGGCTGCATTCAGCTGCAGGATGGATGAAGGAGTCTGGCAGCTGGAACCGAAACTGCGTCTTCTGCCACTCAAGACAGCACTGTGGCTGCCACACCCACGAGAAAGTAAGAAGGGATCTACTGGATCAGACCAACAACTAGAGCTAGTGGAAATGTCTCTTTTTTTGGGGGGGGGAGGACTCGTATAGTAAGTGGAAATGTCTCTTTTTTTGGGGGGGGGGATGACTTGTATAGTAATTATCATGTGCTGCCAAGTCAATTCTGTCTTCTGGCGACCCTTTCATGGTTTTCCAGGTAGACAATTCTCAAGTTTGCTATTCCTTCCTTCTTGGGCATCTGGCGTGGAAATGTCTCTTTTTTTGGGGGGGGGGATGACTTGTATAGTAATTATCATGTGCTGCCAAGTCAATTCTGTCTTCTGGCGACCCTTTCATGGTTTTCCAGGTAGACAATTCTCAAGTTTGCTATTCCTTCCTTCTTGGGCATCCGGCGCAGCTTGCCCAAGGCCACACCGGCTGGCTCTCCTCCTAGGAGGCACAGAGGAGGATTGAACTCCCAGCCTCTGGCTCCACAGCCAGAGACCTAAACCACTGAGCTGTCCAGCCAGTTGGGAGAACTACAACTCCCAGAGTATCCCAGGCAGCGAGTGCCCTGTCCACTGAGCTCTGCATCGGCCTGCGCACTGCATCCAGCATGTCGTCTCACATCCAGTAACCTGATGCTGGCAGGGGTACTCCAAATGCTGCCACTCACTCATGACATCCACCACTGGTCAATCAAGACGCCTCTGAGAAAAGCCCAGCAGGAACTGACCCAGGAATATAACAGAGCTGCTTCCTCTGGGTGCCTCCCAGGGCCAGCATTCAGGTGCTCCCTCCCCACAGATAAACTGCCCATAGCCATCATGACGTCTTAGATAGTCCCGGTGGGACTAACCTCTATGCCCTCTATATCTGATCCCCTTTTAAAGCTGCCCGAAAAACAACATCAAGCGGCAGAGAGTTCCATACCTCTATGCGTGTAACCCCAACATCGGGATGTTCGCCGGAATGCTGCCCCCGCTCCCTCCTCTGATGTTCATAATCCCCTCCATGCCCTCCACCACCACCTCCTATTCCTCCCATCCCACCCAATCCCACCGGCCTCACCTGCGGCTCCACCAGCCACTTCTCCTCCTTCTCCTCCTCCTCCTCCTCTTGCGCCCTCGGGGCCGCTCCTGCGTAGCGGAACGCCGAGAAGAGGGGGACTTTCTCCTGGGTGCTGTAGAGGGTGGCGAAGCGCGGCTCTTGCTTGTACCGCTGGCAGACCCTGGCCAGCGGGAGGTCGGGCGAGCTGCCCGAGAACCCTTCGGGGGCCGTCCCTTGGTAGAAAAAGGCGTCGCAGTCGCCGAAGCCCGCGCCTGCCTTGCTCACCACTTCGCCCCGGGCCGAGCCCGGCAAGGCCACCCCGAGGAGGGCGGCCACAGCCAGCCAGGACGGGAGCCACATCTCGGGATCGGGCTCAAGGGCGATGCCTCCCTCTCTCTTCTCTCTCTCTCTCTCCTTCTCCGAGGCGCCCCGATGCTTGACTCGCCCAGCAAAGGAGGCGGGAAACCAACGACGGGCTCAGCGCGAAGGGGACACCCTCTCCGGACGCACGCGTGCGCTCTCGCTCGCCCGGGCGCTCTCCAACCCGAGGCTTGGGATCCAGAGAGAGAGAGAGGGAGGCAGGCAGGCAGGCAGGCAGGAGGGCGGCGGGCACGGAGGGTGTCACAGGTCCAAGCCGGGTCCGCTGCGCCCGGAGGAGGGAAATGCTCTAGGGAAGAGCCCGGCAGGCCGGCGCTAGAAAAGCCGCCGCGCACCCGCGCCGCCCCTGGTGAGCGCTGACGTGCGCAGGAGAGGGGCGGGTGACGCACGGCGCAGCCGCGCCCAGGCGGCACTCTGCACGCGCTCAGAGTCACACGGGCCGGCCGCGTTCCTCAGGAAGGACGAGGAAGCGGTGCGGGAAGGAGGGCGGCGGCGAGGAAGGGGGAAAAAAACATGCCGCGTTTTTTCCCTTTAATCTCTCTCTCTCTCTCTCTCGCCTCCCTCATCTCTCCTTCCCTCGCCTTACGTCACGGAATCGCCATCACGGCCAGCCCAGGCTCTCTGTCTTGGTCTCTCTCTCTCTTCTGGCTCCGGGCCACGGCTGGTGTCAGAGGGAGGAGAGGGCGGCGGAGAGGACCGCATTGCAGTCGGGATCGCACAGACACACACACACACACATACACATACACACTCCCTTGGGGAACGTGTTTGCTCTGACTCAGCAAGATGTGCCTCTTCCCTTCAGGGCTTGCCGCCACCCACCAGAAAGCGCTGGAGGGCAAGCGGGAGTAAGAGGTAGAGCTGAGGCGCCGCCCTGGGAAGACCCCTAGCTAGACGACGGCTTTGGCCCAGGCCCGGTTTCTGAGGTAACCCCTTGCGGTCAGGCGCCCGTCAAGAAGCTTCCCACCTGTGGCGACTGCAGGAATTAATGGCCTCCAGAAGGTTCTGTCATTAACAGCCCTGCTCAGGTCATTCGTTCAAAGCTGGGCCACCCGGTGCCCGCTAGTGAGTCAATCAATCCCTGACACGTTTGGTCCCTCTGCTTTTCTCAGCACATCCAGAGCCTAATGCATGAGGTGGTGTAGTCAAAATACCTTGTTTGAAGAATAAGGGCTGCAAGTGCACCCCTTCCACCACCTCTCCTTCTCTTCTCTGGCTTGACGTAAACACTGCAGGGACAGCACTTATCAAGAGCAGGCAAAATGCTACCTGCCGCCTGTTCTGGGACTGCAGCACCCACCGGTTCTACCCAGCACCCCCAATGGGGAGGAATGGTGGGAGGGGCAGGCAAAGTAGCATCTGCCTGCCCCTGCTTATATTGGCACCCTGAATGAACAAAGCAAGGGCTCCTGGACATTCGCTCTATGAAGGCCATTCACCTATGCAAGAAGTCATCGCCAAGCAAACAAAGGTCAGGCACACATGATCCAGCCTACGGGACCAGGGACTGTGCAACCTCCAGGAGTGGGATTCTTACTCCCACCATCACTTGCATGTGCAAATGGTGGCGCAGCCCTTGTCTGGGCATGCATGCGCTCATGCGCATGTGCAAATGGCGGTGCGGTGCTCACACGGGCATGCTGGAGAGAGCGCGCAGGTGCAAATGGGCTGTGTGGGGGTGAGTACGTGCAGGGGGTGGAGCGGGAGGTCTATCTCGGCAGCCCGGTCCCCAACCAGGCCGTGGACCAGGGGTTGGGGACCTCTGTTCTAGGGGGAACATAATAACTGATGAGGCATTAAATAACATCAAGGGCCTGCCTGTTTTGAAGGAGTTGGACAGCGAACCAAATTTAGCAGATATAAAAGTGGCCTTTGATTCCCTCACCTCTGGCAAGGCACCTGGGAAGGATGACATCCCTCTTGAAGTGCTGAAGTGCTGTAAAGAGATCATCACAACTGAGCTTTATGAAATCTTTTGTATTTGCTGTAGGGAATGTGGAGTACCACTGGACATGAAAGATGCAAACATTGTCACATTGTATAAGAACAAAGGCAAAAGGGGCGACTGCAATAACTACCATGGCATCTTTCTTCTCAGCGTTGGAGGAAAGCTGCCCATGTTGTGCTGAAGAGGCTCCAGGTGATTGCAAACAGAGTCTATCCAGAAGCACAGTGTGGATTTCGAGCTAATAGATCCACCACTGACATGGTAGTCTCCCTCAGACAGTTGGAGGAGAAATGTAGGGAATGACAGCCACTCTTTGTGGCCTTCATAGATCTCACAAAGGCCTTTGATTTGGTTAGCAGGGACGGCCTTTTTAAAATTCTTCCCAAGATTGGATGTCCATCTCGTCTCCTTAGCATCATCAGGTCCTTTCATGAAGAAATGAAGGGCACTGTAGTTTTTGATGGCTCAACATCAGATCCCTTTGACATCCGAACTGGATTGAAACAGGGCTGTGTCCTCGCATCAACCCTTTTTGGGATCTTTTTTGCTGTCATGCTGAAGCACACCTTTGGAACTCCAACAGAAAGTATCTATGTATTGACTAGATCAGAAGGAACGCTCTCCAGATTGAGAGCAAGGACCAAAGTCCAGTTGAAATGCATGTGGGACTTCTTCACCAATGATGCAGCTGTTGTTGCCCACTCTGCTGAAGACCTCCAACAACTCATGAATCGTTTTAGCAAGGCCTGCCAAGACTTTGGATTAACGATCAGCCTGAAGAAAACACAAGTCATGGGCCAGGGCATGGACTTATCTCCCTCTATTACCATCTCCACACAAGAAGTGGAGGTTGTTCATGACTTTGTGTACCTTGGCTCACCGATCTCCGACACTCTCTCCCAAAAGTCGAGCTGGATAAACGCAGATGGGAAACCTTGACATCTGAGCGTTCAGCCTCGAGGCAGGCAGTGGAGCATGGCCTCTCCCAATTTGAAAAGACCCTTGTCCAGCAGGCCGAGGCAAAGAGGCAGTCCCGAAACCAGCAAAATCAGGGACATGGACAGGGGACAGATTTTGTCTTCAATGTGGAAAGAATTGTCACACTTGAATTGGCCTTCTCAGCCACACTTGACGCTGTTCAAAACCTCTATTCAGAGGATGTTACCATAGTCCCTTGAGATTGAAGGATGCCTACCTACTTCCCTTTAGAGGGGCAGAAGCATAGATCAGTTATAGAAAATGGTCTTTGCATACAGAAGGTCCTCTTTTCAATCCTGGGCATCTCCAGTTTTAAAAAAGATCACAAAGAGCCGAAGACATTTTGCTGCATGAGGCAAATCAAGTGGCTTGTCCTTCCATTTCATGATCAAAAGCCATCCAAAATCAGAAGTGAATCCTTCAACATCATGGAAGTGAGAAAATGTTCCACCACATGTGAATCAGACATAGCATTTTAATTGAGAGAGAGCACAGGGTAAGCTATGTGGCACTCTAGTTTCATCTCTAGCAGGTTGTTGCCATTTCCTAGCCTTTCTTTCTACCTGAGGCAGCTGCCTTACTCTTCTTAATACAGTGGTGCCTTGCTTGATGGCGTTAATTCCTTCCAGCGAAATTGCTGTAGAGCGAAAACGTTGTCAAACGAAATAAAAAACCCATTGAAACGCATTGAAAGCCATTCAGTGCATTCCAATGGGCTGAATACCTGCTCATCCGGTGAAGATCCGCCATACGGCGGCCATTTTCTGGTGCCTGTTAAGTGAAAAATCAGTCCTAAAAAACAGCGGGGGGCCATTTTTTTCAGCCGGCGGCCATTTTGAAACCTGGCGATCAGCTGTTTGCTGATCGTCGTAAAGGGAAAATTGGTTCCCGAAGCAGGGAACCGATTATCGTGAAACCAAAAAAACCATTTAAACTATTGTTTTGTGATCGCAAAAACTTCAACGTTAAGCGGATTCATCGTAGAGCAGGGTAATCATCCAGCAGGGCACGACTGTAGTAGGACCAGTGTTGGGATCAGATAGCAGGTCATTGGGCAGACTTTAGCTTGAGATCCCAGACAGCCCTGGCCAGTTGAGGAAGAAAAACTAAACTAAATGGCTAAAGGTTGTGAAGCCCTTTCCATGACCTTCAATGGACCTTTTCTAAAACATCTTTTTCTGGACACACTGAACACGCTGGAAACAAGGAGCTGATTAATTGCTCTGATAGACTAAAAAAGAGATTAAAAACACACAAATATGGAGGTGTTCATTAGATAAATCTGTCTCACACCTATGTGGTGGTTATTATTTTTGCCATATTTAAAAACGTGATGAATATCTGGACATAAATAACAAAATATAGTAAAGTATCCCTTAGGTTGTGTTTGCTTTCTAAATTTTTTTTTCAATTCAAAAAGGCGAGGAGCCACCGCCGAGAAGGCCCGTTTTCTTGTCTTGTCTTATCTGGACATAAATAACAAAATATAGTAAAGTATCCCTTAGGTTGTGTTTGCTTTCTAAATTTTTTTTTCAATTCAAAATGTGGCAAGAACCACAATGACAAACGACAAACGCTTTTGTCTAATTTTAGAGTTCTTTTAGATGGTTGGTCCCAACAAAACTCTTCCTTATTCATACATTGGTTGCTGAGCCTCCCAAGGATGGCATCTAGAAAATCAGTGCTTGTAGTCATTGTGTTAGTCATCAAGCAAGACAAAGGAAGAAGGATTTCCAATGTTACAATGGAAGGCCCGAGGAATCTGTATCATGTTGACAGTGCAGAGCCAAACACATGCACACATTGCTCAGTAACAATTAGAATGTAACTCAGTGACTTGCTGCATGATGACATGGAGTCAGCAGTATGTATTGCCTCTACTAAATGGTTGCTATGTCTGAGTAGATGTCAGGTGTCATTTGGTCTATGACGGCAGTTTCAACCATGGAAATAATCACTTGTTGTAGCCCAAGTATGGAAGACTATGGCCTGCAGGTGTTTTAGACTAAGACTCCCATAACCCTTTAACATTGACCATGCCAACTGGGACGTGTGGAACCTACAATGGTTCAAAGATTGAAGACTCTTCACCCATTTTGGAAGCATTCAGTGATGAATGTGCATGGAGGAATTCAGAGACCTCAGTCCTATATCTTACAGTAGATACAGTATCCTATTTCCTTTGAGCACATCTTAGAAGGCAGCCACATACTGGCAATAGCTACTCCTTCCTCATATGCAATTGCTTCTCTTGTGATGGTTCTCTGCTTCTCAAGGTGTGGTCAAAGGGACAGTGAGATTTCCAACAGAGTCATCTGGAGCCATAGCTCCTCATGCCAGGAAGCTCTAAAATTGTGTCTGACCACCAGCTCCCATATCCACACTCAACCCAACATGTTTGGGGCACCTATGTGTAGTCCCACGTTGCAGCAATAAATGTGGGTGGCAGTGGGTTCTAGTGTCCAAGTGGTTTGACCATGTGGTTTGATGAGACAAGATAGGAGAATTGTCTCTGTAACCAGATTCTCCTGCACTGGAGAAAGAGGAGCTGGCACCACCTGTTCTTTGTGGTGCTTTTCTTGCTTCCTCTAACCACAACAATTCCCTTATCAGAATAGTGAGGGATTGCACCAATGCAGTAATCAATTTCAGATAGCTGCAGAAAGCCATCAGAACTTTACACCTTTGCCATATTGCCAGGCGGTTCATCTTGCAAATGGCAGCAACTTGACAAAGTGGCAAGAAATACAACACAAGACTCTCCCTATTGTTTTCTTTCCATTTACGTATTTAAGAAT